GTGTACACAGTCTTCACATCGCAGCTCCTTTATGTACAGTTTGACCTTGCTATTTATGGTGACGGAGGATTTTAGCATCCACCATATATCATCCAGTACTTTATCGATCTTTCATAGTGTTTGTCTGTTACCAACCGTACATTTTTTTTTCTAAAATTAATTGCATTGTATAATTGGAGTAGCGGCTCCAGGCCTGCATCCGGCCCAGGGCACGCCCAGCCGGCACGGACCTGAAACGACCCGTTGTCCAGCACCAGGGGCACCGGCAGGGGCCCGTGGGCCACCGGGCCGGCCTCCAGCACTGGATCTGGAGTGGCGCGGGCGTCCCGGAAACGGGAACACGTTCCCCACCGGCCCAGCGGTCCCGGACGCCGCCATCTTGCAAGGAGCGCGCTGGCTCCGCCCCTCACCGCAGCGTCGGCCCCGACGGCGCGAAGCCCCGCCCCGGCGCGTAACGCTGCGCGGCTCGGGTCCTAAAGAACTTCCAAGCCTCACCTCCTCGCTGAGGCCAACGACCCTCTTCACCTGACTCGCCCCTCGGGGCCCAGGCCACCTTCGGGACCGCTGGGGCCCGTCCATTCTGGCGGTTAAGTGCTGTAGTTGCTTAACCTCGTCTTCATATCCGACCTCACCACGCCCCTTCGCTCTAGCCGGGACTCTGGGCCAATAAGCCGCGCCCCAGTGCGCAGCGCCATCAAGCCCCGCCCCCTCCGGCGTCCAGGAGGCCCCGCCTTCTCTCCTAGCCACGCCCTATTTCTCCGGGTAACTCACCTTCAACAGCCCTTGGTCCCGCCTCCACGTGGTCACGTCGCCCTCAAGCTCTCAGTCAAAGAAACGCAAACTCTGGGTTACTGACCAGAGAGCTCACTACACAGGCGTGTTCACTTTGTGAAAATTCATCAAGCTATCCATTTATAATTTGTGCACTTTTATGCAGTTATGTTATCTTTTAAAATACAGTATAAGGTTTTAAAATAGCTTTATGTATTTATTAACTCCCAAAGACAGTGCTCTCTAACAGGAGACCTCAAACACTAAGAAAAGTACTGTTAGTTGTTTCTCAATATATATATTCTCTTTCTTCCATTTATTGGCATAACTTTCCCCCCGCTGTCATTTCGCTTGGTGTGATCATGAGTTCTGGCCAGTGGAGGTGATGTGGAAACTAATAAAAGGATTTACCTGTAAAGAGGGGATGAGGTGGGTGAGTCAGATGTGAGAGACTTTTTCACTCCATGCTTTTTGATACCTGATTTTTAACCATGTAAACGTATAACCTTTTCAGAAAAAAAAAATAAGCACTATGTATGAGTGAGGTGGACTGGATTATATTCCCAGTTCTTCCCTCCCTTATAATAGAATTATATATCCATACCATCAACCATGTAACTTTGTAGGGCCTCTCATTGTAGACATTGATATTAGTCTTGACCACGTGACTTGCTTTTAGCCAGTGGACTGTTAACCTAATGTAATTGAAGCAGAGTCCTTACATGTGTCTGTGTCGTTTAGACTGCCCTCTTGCACTCCTGCTATTAGTCATGAGAAGAGCATGTCTGAAGTCTAAAGAGGATGAGAGACACATGGGTAGGACCTGAACCCAAACTGCATCCTGGAGCCAAGTCCAGCTGACATGCAACCTAAAGCCAAGTCATCCCCTGGACCCATGAACAAGAACAGTTTATTCTGAAATTCTGAGGTTTCTATGCAGCATTATTGCTGCAGAAAACTGATACACTAGATCAAGGCTGTCCAACTGGTACTTTCCGCCTTGATGGAAATATTCTACAACCTGCATTGTCTAATGCAGTAGCCACTAACCACATGTGGCTATTGAGCACTTGAAATGTGAGTAATGCAAGTGAGGGACTGAATTTTTTACTTTATTTAATTTACATTTACACTTAAGTAACCATATGTATCTAGTGGCTACTCTGTTGCACAATGTAGCACTAGACAGAATCTATGGCTGTGATTATTTGCCTGTGGAAATGACTAGAAGAAAATAGATCATAAGCTTAGAGTTACAAGGCCCTGTAACGCCAAGTGTCCTCCACACAGCCCTCAGCATAAGGTCTTTGCTCCAGCTGAGACATCCACTAAAATGACAAAAGCCTAAAACAGAGAAACAGGTAAAGGTCTGGGAGGTCAGCAGCCCCTTCAAGAATTCCACAAGGACTCAGCAGCTTTGAGATCTTGAGGCTCCTTCCCCTTACACTTGACCTCCAGCCCTTAGATGTATCCGGTCTTGGGAAAACAGAGCTCAGTCAAGATCAACAGACACCTTCTCTGTCTTCTTTACTGCAGCACCCTGGAGCCTAGAGTAGTTCTTAGCCCAATGTGTGTGGCCTATGGTGTGCTCAATAAATATTTAATAAATAAATCCTGTGTGCCTGCCAGAACTTGTACTACGTACTAGGTAATACTAATAGTTCCTTTAATTGTGTTCTCCCTTCCCCAGTTTATCATTCCCTATATTCTCTTTCTTCCATTTATTGGCATAACTTCCCCCCCCCCGCTGTCATTTCGCTTGGTGTGATCATGAGTTACTACGTACTAGGTAATACTAATAGTTCCTTTAATTGTGCTCTCCCTTCCCCAGTTTATCATTCCCTCTGCAGAATCCTCAGTCTCTTCACTCTGTTTCCATCCCACCCTGGAGGGTTGCTGGGAGCTGCTGGAAGTGTAGGACTCCTCCCAGGCCCACCCCCCACCTCACCCCATTTGGCTGGGCTCTCAGCACTGCCCAGCCATCCTGCTGGGTGTCCCTCGCCAGAGGCCCCTCCTCACCTGGCCCTTCTGGACCCCACAACTGGCAGAGGACGTGTCCACTCATCACTGTGGAATTCATTGTAGCCAGACCCTTGAAAATACTCAATCCAAACCTGTAGGGAGTAGAGTTCATCTCCCAAACCTTACCTTACACCCAGGGCTGGGATTAGGATGAGGCAAGAGAGGCATCTGCTTAGAGAGCAAAATTCAAGGGGGTGCAAAAAATTCAATAAGCGAGACAACATTGTGTGCAGTGTGTCTTAAAAAAGATTAAAAACCAAATCGAGCTATGATTTTCAAAATAACACGACGAACAAAATAATGAAATTTGAAATCAATGCAAGATTGGTATTGCTAATAATTCCTTTAGCCTCCATTCGGCTTAGTATAGCGCTGCTGGGGGCACTGCTCTATCTGAACGTCACCGTTGCTAATCCTAAGTGTTTGGGAAGGAAACGACACTGATGAATCTTGCCTGGCCTGTGCTCGAGCTCACTGCCGACCAAGAACATAGGAGTTCTTCCTTTCAACTTCTACCCACGCACTTTGGTGTTGCCCGAAAGCAAGTCTGGGGATGGGTCTCCTACGGAGGGACGAGGGTGCGGGCCTTCCCTTGGGACGTTGGGAGGCTGGCTGTCCTGCCCCCGCCCTCGGGACCGCGCCGGGGGATGCGCCGGCTCCTGCTAGCTGAGCACAAAGCCGGGAGCCAGGATAAGGTGGAGTGGAGCTAGGCGAGTCTGCGGACGTGGCAGCCGCTGTGCAGAGTCAGCCGGAGTCTCATTTGTCCTTTTAAAGAGAGGAAGGACCGAGCTGGTGCAGCGTGGCGTTCCCACCTTCCCTTCCACTGCAGAAGTCCGGGCTTTCTCTGAAGGCTACACGCCGCAGAGGGCACCCCAGGGTCCACGGGTCCGCAGAGGAGCAGTGGGAGGTGGGGCGGGGGGAGGAGGCGGGGTGCAGAGGGGGAGGAACAGTCAGCTGGCTCTCCAGGACGGGGAGACTTCGGGGGCGGAGGGGGCCTGGAAACTGAGGATCCTCTGGCCCGCTCCGAATCCTGAACGCGCGGCAATAGTGACAATAGGGCGTCAGGGGGGTGACAGCAGTCATCTCAAATGGCCCGTTAAATCGTCAGAAGCAGAGAGTGGCCGAGGGATCCGGATCTCATCTCCCTCCCGCCCCCACTCCCATTAGCTGGCTGCGGAACCACCATCACAGGTACACGCACACGGGTGCTCTGCACACATATGCACGCACAGACGTTCATCAAGATTCTCTCAGGATACAAGTGCAGCCTTCCCCTCACCCCTCGCGCATCTCTATATTGGCGCGCTCTCTCATACACCTGCACACATCCACCCGTCGCAGCCCGCAGGGAGAACTGGACGCGGTGCCTGGGCATTCTCCCGCGCTTCCCCATCTGACTGCACCTGCAGAAATCCGTCCAAACAGGCCCCGCCTTGGTGCTGGAGACCAAGACTCTCCCGCTAGGCTTCTGGTCGCCAGAGAGGACCCCGGGAACTGCCCGGCCTGCCCGCGCTCCCAGATCCCATCCGGAAAGTCTAACCATGACCCTTCCCAACCATCCCGGAACTGGCTCTCCTGGAGGCAGTGCCAGCGCTGCCCCTGGGATAGGATCTGCACACAAAAGGGGGCCGGGTAGTTCAAGCAAACGCATGCTCAGCGGGCTGTGCAAGAAAAGGGGAGACTGGGGCCCAAATGGCTCAGGGCTGCTGATTCTAAAAAGCCAGGCTTCTTCACTGTGGCTGTGCAAACCTAAGCTTGGACTTGGGGGTGGGGTGGGGGGTTGTTCTCTAGGGTGAGATGCCTTCCAGCCCGGGCAGTCATGTATGTCCTTGTTCATCGCCCGCTAAGCTGTAAACTCCAAGAGGTCAGGGCTGAGTTTGCTCCTCCTGGACCCCCGCACAGTCCCAGTGAAGATGGGCTGTCTTCAACATTCATTGAACAAACGTGGAGGGCTTCGGACATAAATATGTAGACCTTTGTTTTTGATTAGAGGTGGAGAGCATCCACCAAATTCTCAGTTGGATCCCTCCCTGGGGAGAGACGGAAACAAACAACAAACCTTGTCCGGGCGGTTGAGGGGCGTAGACGGGGCGGGGGGGGGGGACGCGCTCCTTCCCACTGCGGTACCCCCTCTTTCCCCCCGCACCCCCCCACCCCCCGCCCCTCGCAGCACATGCAGAGCCTCGCTGGGTTCGGACCAACCATCCTCCCCTCTCCCTGGAGCTCTCCCGCGACCCTTTCACTGCCGCTGCTTCGTCGCTCCCACCTGCTTCACCAGGCCGACCGGAGCCGGCTCCCCGCCACCCTCCCAGCGCTGGGATCCCTGCGGGTGTAAAACGCAGAACCGACCCGAGACCGCGGGCACCATTGTTTCTTCTTTATTTGCGGATATAATTATGCGCCGCACTCTAAAGTAGAGATAGATTTTTTTTTCTGATATACATTTCATCTTATTCACCACGAGCACACCACACGCACGTAGAACAGTTCCACAAGATGAGTTTGGGTTCCTGGAAACCCGCAGGCAAGCCAACCCCGCCCCGCTCCTCGCCTCCAGCTCCTCCGATGGAAACCGCCCACCCGGAGCGGGTTCCCGGCCAGCCTTTCCCGCCGCAGGGTTGCAATGTCTCCGGAATGGGAAGCGCTCTTGCTGGAAATGGCTGCACGCTGCAGGTTCCGAGCACTGGATGGATGTGAAATGTCCCGCTAAGGTCAAGTTTCCGCGCCTGCGAGCTGCTGCCCCTCTCCCTCCCTGCCCACCCCCTGGGTGCCAGGGGCCTACGTGTGGGGCCCCTCCTGGAAGGACAGATAACCCTGCTCACAAAGGAGCCCCGCCTCCCCCCACACCAGGGTGTTGTGGAAAAGAAAGGACAACAGAAAACGCAGACGCGACGGATTGTGGAGCCCTATCCCCTCCCACCCCCCATCCCCAATGATCAGAGACTAGGAACCGGAGATGTTTAAAGCTTGGCTTCCCAAGCGCGGCGGCAGGGCGCACGGGGCTGGTGGGGGCGGGCGGCAGGGAGGGGGAGGAGCGCGGGAGCTCGCCCTGGCCCCCTAGTCCTCCGCGTTGGTTCCGTAGGCCTCGATGAGGCCCTCGAGCGAGTGCACGAAGCCGGACACGCTGCAGATGCCGCCGATGACGAAGATGGCGACGTCGAAGAAGACTTGGTGCCACAACAGCTTGCGCCAGAGCAGGCGCAGGTGGAAAAGGCTGGGCAGCAGGAAGCAGAGGCCGGCGCCCGTGAGGCTGCCCGTGAGGCCCATGAGCAGCGCGAAGTGCCGGCACGTAGATGGCCATGAGCAGCGTGAAGACCACCAGCGCGCAGCGCAGCGTCAGCCCCACGACTTGAGGCGGCCGTCGCCGCCGTAGCAGGCGGGGAAGAAGGCGCGGCTGCCTTCCTGGAAGAGCGACTTCTCCAGCACCTCGACGGCGGCGAAGAAGGGCAGCGGGTAGGACAGCAGCGCCTTGGCCACCAGGAAGATGTTGACCACCGCGCGGATGGAGCCGGGCAGGTTGTCCGTGATGACCTCCTTGGTCTCGTCGGCCCAGGTGAGATAGGCGACGAGCGCGAAGAGGCCTTTGAGCACGCAGGCGGCGATGTGTGTCCAGTTCATCATGCAGTGGAACTCGCTGGGCTGCTGCATGTTGCCCTCCAGCGAAGGCAGGAAGATCTGCGACGTGTAGCTGAACACGATGATGCCGATGGAGATGGGAAACTTCTTGACGTCGATGTAGAACTTGACCTTCTCCCAGGCCCAGTCGCGCGCCCGCGACAGGCAGTAGGCGATGACCAGGATGTTGATGACGAAGTGGGCCAAGGTGCACAGCAGGCTGAATTTGGAAACGGCCTTGAGGTTCTTAAGGAAGGCGCAGGGCAGCAGCATGGCCGTGGCGATGATGGACCAGGACTTCTGCGACACGGGCAGCCCCGGGAAGCTGTTGTACATGAGGTTGCCGCTCACCACCACGTACAGGATGCAAGTCATCACCAGCTCGATGATCTGCGCCACGTTCACCACGCGGCCGCCCAGCGTGGGGAAGCGTGGAGCGCAGCACGCGTTGGCGATGGCCACGTACGAGTCCCGCACGCGCACCACCTCGCCGTCCTCGTTCTCCTCGTACAGGCAGGCGATGAGGATCTGCCGGTGTAGCATCACACCCCGGCGGCGAAGATGATGAGGAACAGCCCCAGGTAGCCGCCGTGCATGATGTCGTATAGCAAGTCCACCGCGAACATACCCCTGCGGAGAGAAGAAGCAAGCATACCACAGAGCTGATCCTATAGCGGCCCTGCAAAGAGAGAGCCCCGAGCTCGTGGTTTTTGGGTACAGCGCGATAGAG